GACCCTTTACCTTCCGAGAAGGCTTCTAACATGTCACGAGATCTGGCCAGTCTCTCCGCAGCCCGTGTCTGCGTCTGCCTGCTACAACAGGCTAGTCTTGTGTGGGAAGAACTGATTGCTCAGTACAGCAGGGAGTCTGCTATCAGCGGTGACGGTCGTCGCCTGGTGCCCCTCCTACAGACCATCTTTACTCTGGCTCGGTTGGTGGAGACAGTCCCCACTACAGCCCAGTTCTTAGAAACTGGCTTACCTCGCGATGCCTCTGTGGATAGGAAGGCTTTGGTCGCCGCTTGGACGGAACTCGCCCCAAAGGCCAGGTAACTTTAGTTTTACCACTTAATTACTAGTATTAATCGTGGCTACTGTTAATTTAACGTGGCTAACGTTTTTCTTAGCTGTCCGATATTCCTAGTTAACCCTAGACTAAGGAACATTTTTTCTCAGACTACTAGGTAGACATCTCAGCTCATAGGTGATCAAAAGCTGAATAGATGAGGCGTCGCACGCTTGCAGTCGCGTGTACCAACGGAGGACTGCGTTGAAAGATGTGTGGACTGTAAAACTTCGTATTTTAAATGTCCCGGAATTTCGTGCGTCTGTATTAAGTAGCTGAGGTTTCCCAAGAGACGCTTTTCGGTCAATATTGCTTAAAGGCAACGCTGTGTATAATTTCAGAAAGGTTTAGTATTCCCTTACCCTAACATTAGCCCTCACATAAACCCAGATTGTAGCCCTTATCTCGACGGTGACCTTCAACATAAACCCAACCCTTATTTCCTTGGAATTTGCCGCCCAACCGTCTAGATTGTGGGCGGTTACTGTCTTTATGTCCTGTTTAGTGGGCTTTTTTGTCATGTGCCGTACAGTTGTGGCGGGCAATTAACCGTGCTGTCCGAATTTATCGCTGAATATCCACTGTCTTAACATTACTTAACTCAACAGATGGCTGTTTCTGATCCGCTGACCTGAAGACCCTTCATCGACCTCCGCGCATCCAGATAGTTGTGGCTGCTTAAAGGTCACTTGAACACGCCAAGCCTTGACCGATGCAACATGGGCCACTATACACGACACCCCTCCAGTAGTGCCATATACCAA